GGTTTTCATTTCGACTTATATATAATCAGGATATTCTGATTGATATGATGTTTTTTTTGCTAATGAACGTGCTTTAATTTGAATTATAAATCGAGTCACTGTTTTTAATTGACCTCTAGCTTCAGTGAACCATTCTATAAGCTCATCTTCAATGTATAGGAATTTTAGATGTATATCTGTATTTAACTTTTGAATGTAAAGAGTTACGCTAATAAGCTTATCCTTATTATTAATCCAATCATGAAGCTGTTTTGACATTTTACTATGACCTTTTTTATGGTAAGTTATTATCATTAACTTTTCCCTTACAGACTATTGCCTTTTCTTTTTTTTGAAACTCTCGCACGTTTAGCCTTGAAATTTCCATACACCATTTTTTTTAAGTTTATTTTTAAAGCAAAAAAAATGAAACAAAAAATAAAGAAACAAAACCCCAAAAATGTAAAGAAAAATATGAAAAAAATGTAGTAACGCTACACATTATTATTTCAGCTTTAAAATTACAATATTGGTTAATAAATGTGATTTTCTGTAATAAAAGGCAAAAAAACTTGCCAAACTAATTAATTAAGTTTTTACTCAATTAATTACTTATTACAATAAAATAAATGCAACTTATGTAAAGAAAAGGTAATTTTAAATAAAATTTTTAAAAAAAAGATTGTTTCATTTAAAATAAATCAAGGAGAAATTTTTTTAAATAAAAAAAGTAAAAAAGATAATTGCGAAATGCCAAATGTATGCTTTATTTATTATATTTCAAATATGTTGTATATTGTTGCTAGTATGTAATATAGGTTATTGGTATAGACTATATATATTTAGGTTGTATCTTATACCTCTTAATATATGCTTGTATCCGTGTCAGTTATCAGTATAGACTATATAAAATTAGTTTATACTTTATAACTCTTTTACATTACAATATACGTCTCTGATATAATACTCCCTATTAAAATACCTTACCACTTATTATACCCTGCTCTTCACAAGATACTTATAGCCATAAATCAATTTTTAAATTGAAAAAATTGATTTATACTTGGGGTATTTTGTGCAGTGCTCTATGATAATTAATCCATTTTTTTAATTTGATGAGTCTAAACCTCACTACTAAAAGTAATATAAATGGATTTTTTGTCAAACATCATGAAAATAAATCGCCTAAACAGTTAGAATATCCTAAAAGTACTGTGTATTTCTTCTGTGCAATTTTACACAGTCAATATACTTTGCCATTTTTTTATACATATATTATAATATAATCTCCAGCACAGTTTTCAAAACTATTCTCAGAATACAAATCACAAGATGATCATATAACTAAGCTAAGCTACCATTATTATATTAAATCAAATTAATTAATCAATCTTTAGGGTAACAAGGGTTATCTCCAAAAAAAAGAATTAGAATCATGAATGAAAAATATCCGCTTGATCTTTCGAATCTGATTGGCTGATCTGTAAAATATCTCATGATTTAAGTTGCAAGAAATTGGCAGCTAGGAAGATCTCATATAATACAATTTTTTAGCTATTACTATTGTCTCAGATCCAATTTAACTGGCTGATTTTTATGTATATGAAAGAAAACCATTCAGCACCAATCTACATACATGAATTAATATAGCCTTATAAAAATTCTAGTATGTTTGTAATCAATCTGATATTTTTAAAAATATAAGTTGTAAAGAAATGCTATAAGTCTTTAAATTCACTATAAACTTTTTACAGTCATAAAATGTAGGGTTCCTCAAAATCAAATCAAATCAAACTCAAATATTTGATCGAATCAATTTGAATCAATTTGA